ATGTTTAGAGGCTATTAATGTATTTAAGAGCGACAGCAATTTCTTACTGGCTGCTAGGTGTAACAAAAAATATGTTTTTAAAAACAAAAAATAAAATACTTTATTTTTATGCTGAGTATTTTTTTTTAACCTTTTAATCGAGAAATACTTTATGTAAAGCCTGAAAAGGAGGCAACCCTAATTCTGGTATGAAATATGTTGAACAAACCAGGCGCTCAATTCATGCTAGAATCAAAGAGCATTTAGTTCGCACCAGGCTTGATAGAACTGAAAAATCCAGTGTTGTTTATCATATTCTTGCCGAAAATTACATAATCAATATTAACAATCTTAAATTATTTAAGGAAAATAGAAATAATTATTTGCTTGATGATTTTGAAGGTATATTTATTCATAAAAACCGATTAAACTCTCTTAGCAGTGACAAAGGTCCTATCCCTAATTCTCTGTTGCTTAGTTTAATTTAATTTGCCGTGTTATTGTGTTGCAAGGTCCATTGAACATTTTGGTTACACTAACACTAAACTATTTAGAGTGTTCAACAAAATCGTTAAGGTTTTCCCGTCTTCTAGATAAATAATCATTTACTTCTTAAATAAAGATTCACATAAGGAAATTTGGGGCTGGTGCCAGATTTTGATAAAGTTTTGAAAATAACAAAATCCTTCCAAAAATTGACATCTGCAGGTTGCAGTTCAATTTACTAATCGGTTGCATTTTCGTCAAATAGAATATGCATACATTTTATTATCTATATATTCACTTTATGTATATGAATAAATTATTGTCCCTTCTGTTTCCTTTTCACAAACCATTAGCATTAATATCGCGCGGAAAACCTACCATAAAAAGTGACGTTTCCATCAATGAATGGGGGTCGCATTGTGCACAGTATAATGGGGAAAATTGTTGGAAATGTGGCGACATTACGCGAACTTAATAGCAGGAAAATTACTAAATGGAACTGGCGTCCTTTCTCCTTTCTTCATACATACATATGTTCGTAATTAATTGAAAATTAAACCGACCCGAGTACAAATGCCATGTCCCCTAATTGAGCTTCTGAAAATTTATTTATACTCATGTTCGGACAAAACAGTTCAAAAACGTAAAGATTTAAAAGAATTTTCACAAAACAATTTTATATCCTGTTGGACACTTCAAATTTTTAAATGGTTTTCATTTGCTATTTTGTCCCCTAGTTCTATAACCAATAAAAATATTATTACCCTCTTTTGCATTAATTCTTTTGTTCATTTAAATGGTTTTGTTTTGAAGTGACAGAAAGAAGATGGGTTACGATAGGAGGTCCATGACATACAGACAATTTAGCCAAAGAAATAAAAGAAGAATTTTCGGCACGTCTAAAATATTAAGGGGTTAATTCGTCGAAAACTCGAGCAATCTACTACGTCCACCCCTTTTAACTTTGTTACTGTTTCTAATACCTATAACTACGCCTTCATGCCTGAGAAAGTGACCTATCAATCTATCTATCCTTCTTCTTATTGACTTCTACAGCTTCTCCCTTTTTTAATACTTTCTTACTTCTAACCTAACCCATTCGAGTGCCGCGGGCGACTGTCGATATGAGTTTTTTTATGCGATAACCAGAAACATAATTCGTACTCGGCGACACACACAAACATTCTTGCGATAAAAGAATCTTACGGGAAGATACGTGGGATACTACGTACTACACGTACTACATGTGACAATATTAAGGGGTTGGAATAAAAAGCCATGAAACCATTATTACACTTCTCAAATGATTTAATGTTGTTGGTTAATGAGAGAAGGTTTTGCAGCGCCCCTAAAGTATTAAGGGGTTAAAATAAAACCCTCAAAAACTTTATTATCTATTTTATTAAATACGTATTCATTTCGCTATGTGTAGATATTATTAATAGAGAAAATTCGGCGTTATATCTTAGTATGGATAAAATGTCTTCCCTGTTAATTTACCTTATGTTAGAATAATCTTATTTAGAATATAGTATCTAGTGCTTTGCTTGCATGTACAAGTAGTATATTATTTATTAATTAATATATAGCATGCATAGGTAACGGCGATGTTTATCATTATATATTTTTTTTAATTATTTTATTACACGTTAAAAAGCTTTGCTAACAAATCCACATTTTTGCCATTGTTTGCAAATAGAAAAAAGACTAAAATTTGCTTGATGATAAACATCTATATACATTTACCATTATGTATCATAAATCTACTTTAGAAACAGACTTGAAAGCATCTGAGAGACAAAACAGAAACATAAATATGTTATAATCAGTTAGAATACAATAGGATTTTTTTTGAAGCACCGAATAACATTTAAAAAGCTGGTATTATTTATTGTAATGGTAATCTCGACT